GGGGGGGGGGGAGGGGGCGGATGGCGAGAGGCAGGGCACACGCACGGAGCTGGTGATCTGGTAGTGCGACAGGGGGAGCGTGCAGTCGAGCCAGCGGCCGGAGCCGGCCTTGTCATAGAGCGAGCTGATGGTGGCCCGGTCGTAGGGGATCTTGCGGGCCAGCTGTGACACGACGTCGGCCACCGGCTGCGAGTCGCCCAGGCGGAAGGTGACCACGGCGTTGGCGCGCTCGGGCAGGCGGATGCGCAGCAGGAAGACCGAGGACGTGCGGCGGACCTCGAGCACATGCTGCGAGCGATGGCGGCTGGTTAGGGCAGGAGGGGGGGGGGGGGGGGGGGGGAGAGGAGAGAGGAGGGCGGTCTTGGTGCCCCTTGATGGGGGGCCCGTGTGGCCCCCGGCATGTGTCGGCCCCCCCCCTGCGGAGCGCATGTGCGCGTACCTGCGGCTCGATGTCATACAGGTCCAGCGTGTGGTCCGCCTGCAGGAAGATCCCCCGGTGGGGATAGTACAGGCCGAAGGGGTCGGTGTCCGAGGCCTCCAGGGCCTGGCTGTCGAGCAGCTCGCGCACCGTCAGCTCCAGGCCATAGGAGAAGTCCTCCGGCTGGGTACTCCCGGCCGGGGTGAGCTTCACCGACAGGGGGCCCCGCGCGTGCTTGATCTTGAGCTCGTCCTATGTGGATGTGTGGATGTGTGGATGTGTGCGTGTGTGCGTGTGTGCGGGTCCCGTCGGAAAGAAGGGGGGAGGGACGGCGGGGAAAAAGGCGGGCAACGGAGGCAGACAGGGAGGGCCGTCAGCAGGGGAAAGGAGGGAGGGAGGCAGGGAGGCAGGGAGGCAGGGGAGGGGCGACACAGAGCAGGGACATGGCACAGCCGTGGCGGCACGCACCCCGGGCAGGATGCCACACTCGGCCAGCGTCAGGTCCGGGTTCAGCCAGATATTCTCCAGGGCAGACTCGGCGCCGGGGGGGCCCGGGGGGGCGGTGAGCGTCGAGTAGGGGACGTGGCGACCAAGGCGGAAGTCCGCGACGCCGGCACCGGCCGTGCTACCGGGCGCGGCGGCCTCCAGCGCCACCAGGGCCAGGCGGGTGACCTCGCGCACGGTGGTGGCCTCGGCCTCCGGGACCACGACCCCGAGGGAGGAGGCCGGCAGGGCGGCCCCGCCGCCGGTGTACGTGGCCGGGCCGGAAAGCCACGCGGCAAAGCCGATGGCATGCACGCTCAGGCTGTATGGGAGGTCGTCGGCGTCCGGGTCGTCGGCCATCGGGCCGGCGGCCGGCGAGGCGACTTCCTCCGCATCGCCGGTGGCCGCTTCCGGCACGGCGGACGGCGGCGCGAGGCCGGCTTCAGGGCCCGACGCGACAGCATGCTCGTCTGTGCGGTGGGAGGCCCGGCGGGCGCAGGGGAAGGTGAGAGGGGGCATGGGCGCGAGCAGCAGGGCCGGGGCCGCACGCACCGTGAGCAGCGATGTCGGTGGAGGACATTATTCTTCGAAAGGTTGGTGTGTGCGAAGAGCGGGACGGGAGCGAGGGGCCGCTTTGCGCGCGCGGGGGGGGGGGGGCAGGGC